TCTATCTATCTATCTATCTATCTATCTATCTATCTATCTATCTATCTATCTATCTATCTATCTATCTATCTATATCCACATACATACACACATACATACACACATACATACACACACCCATACACACACTAGCACCTCATAAAAAGCACATAAAAATGCAAGTAGAAAAATAGGAATCACCTTTGGTGGGAAGATAATAGGCTCCATGCGCCTTCAGCATTTAGTCATGCTGGCCACATGAACACAGAGACATCTTCGGACAGCGCTGGCTCTTTGGCTTTGAAATGGAAATGAGCACCGCCCCCTAGAGTTGGGAACAACTAGCACATATGTGCGAGGGGAATCTTTACTTTTATCTTTATCTTTATATTTAGTTTAATAATTCTTGATAAATCCTAAAACTCTCTCATCCAGGGACCATAACATATGAGGACAATGAATTCAATAGGTTCATTTTGTATTGGTTACTCCATTTTCTTTATTTCCTTATTCAATGGGATTTTTATTCCAATCTTCAATGAAAAAGGGTTTTAGAAGGGCTGACTGGGCACTTACTTGTTAAAAGTGAAAAATAGAAGTCTCTTTGTACAAGGTTGCAGCCTAAAAGACATTGTATAAAAGGAAAAAAATGGATAGGGAGAGGAAAAAAAATGATGAACAGATAAATTGCATTATTATAAAACCAACTGACAGGATGATGGGAGAGGGAGAAGGTTTGTCTGGTCTGTCAACAAAATTGTGGAAATGGTCTTCTTTTCCTTGTCTTCTGCATCAGTCTCATGGGATTTTGACTACCCTGAATGTACGTCATATAGTGAGCCACTGCATGGATTTTAGTGTTCCAACAGAGGGGTATGTTTTCCCTATTAATTCTCTCCACAATATTCCTTACTTTGCAATCGTCTATCATTTCCCCCTTTTTAAAATAAGTCCCTAAACACTGCATGTATGCCTCCATTGTGGAGAAGACCTGGGCACTTGTTTTGTTTTAATCCTTACTATAATCAGAACTTTAAAAAGTTGGAAAGAGGCTCCTGATTGGTTTTTCAGTATGATTTCATGAAAATTATATGCATGCAGGACTGGTGTGATAATGATTCATTGCTCTGGCTTTTAAAAATTGCATGAAGCTTTTAAAGCACTAATCGTGCCAATTAGCCAGAAAATGATTCATATGGAACTTACAAAGATGGATGCAGCTAGTAGAAATCTCCAATCTTATTGCAGTGTTTGTACTGCAGTGGTGTCAGGGATGTTTGCTGAAGATGGGTAAAAGTTCTATGCATCGCTGTCTAAGTCCAATGTATATGGAGGAGCTGGGAAAAACCACTTCCTGAAGTCACACATCTACTGCTGTGTCTGCTCCATCCTTAAAAATTTAGCAGCTCCCCCCCCCCGGCTTTATGTGTATTTCTAAAAAGATGTAACAGAAGAAAATAATAAATATCTGGGATCGTGTTGTAGTATTGCAAAAACATAGACATTGATTCACTGAGGAGAAATGGAAAAAAAAAGTTTATGTGATGCTCTATTTAGGAAGAATGAGGGCATCACATAAACATTTTCTCCCCAGTTTGGTGTTATAGTTAAGGATGCATTTTTTCTGCTAAAACTATCTTACATCATTAAAAAACCAAGGACAAATGAACCTGCTAATTTCCTTTTGTTTAGTTTTACTGATATTTTTTTTAAATCAGACTTCCATATCAATTTGTGATTATTATTACTGTTTTCCATACGAATATTCATGTGCATTTAGCATGCTTTTATTATTTTGCCCAAATAATTTTTTTCCAAGCCATTTCTCCCAATTCAGTTTTGTATATTGTTCTCTTTAACAAATACAGTTTTTAGAGGGAAATTCTATGAGTTGCAGCATTGTAAATGTTGAAGGGTAACTATATTTTCGTTATCTTTCGGTTGAGGAGGTTTAAGGAATTTAAATCTGTCAATTTCAGTGCCTCGGTTTTATTGTGTTTCAAATTTATTTATTTCTAAATCTAATGTATAAGTCTGCCCAACTAACAAGTGTAACTGATTCCATTTTTGCTCCCCATTCCATAGATTTAACACAAGTTATCTGGGCTTTATCAGAAAAGTGGCAGTGATTGCATTATTCAGCAGCATCTGAAGTAGGTAGGATGGTTACCTCAGCTAACAGGCTTCTTTTCTGTTCTTGCACCCCACAGGCTACTAGGCAGAATGTCCACAGATGAGCGGCATTTGACCTCCAGCTGTGGATCTTTCATCAAGACTGAGCCATCCAGTCCATCCTCTGGAATTGACGCCATCAGCCATCATAGTCCTAGTGGCTCCTCTGATGCCAGTGGTGGTTATGGCATCACTATAGGTGGCCATTCTAATGGCCTGGACTCACCACCCATGTTTGGCGGTGCAGGGATTGGTGGTGGTCCTTGCCGCAAGCGATATGACGACTGTGCCAGTGCTATTATGGAAGATTCACCCACTAAATGCGAATATATGCTCAATGCCATCCCAAAAAGGCTATGTCTAGTGTGTGGGGACATTGCATCTGGATATCACTATGGAGTGGCCTCTTGTGAAGCATGCAAAGCCTTCTTCAAGCGGACAATTCAAGGTAGGAGGCTGGTGAGAGCAAATGCAAGTGAAATGGTTACATCAAACACTGTTTTTGTTGGCTGACAGACAGAATCCATTATAGGGTTTTATCTTGGAATTGATGATGGCTAAATATTTTGAATATTCAAGGGAGATTAGAGCTGAAAAGCGAACAACTTGGCAATGTGAATTTAGACAGCACAGGGTCACAATACAGGCTTAATGGTATCTTTTGCTAATCTTAGCAACATTTTTCTTGTTCTATAATTTGGCACTAAAAACCTAAATGAATTTTCTAAATTCTGGTTGTCATTATTTCAGTTTTTGCAACTCTGGGTAAATCAGATTAAATGATTTCTATATTTGCTACCTCATTCACATAATCTAATGTGTTTTAGGGGGGGAAAAGTTCTTTTCACTGTTAAAATAGATATAATGGGGAAAAAAACAATGCTGGCAGTTATAAACGACTGGGTTAAAGAGATCTATTTTACATCCTATTCAAAATGTTAAAGGTGAGAATCAACAATTGAACTAAAAGCATTCCAAAATTTGGAAGTAATACAAGAGTAGCTCTGTTCCGAGGCCAGAAGAACTGTCTGTTTTTGCGCATGGAAGATATATTCAGCAAAAGAGGTGGCGTAGCACCTTCCAGAATGGGATGTAGAGAACTCTCTAGGCCAGTAGTTCTCAACCTGTGGATTGGGACCCCTTTGGGGGTCGAATGGCCCTTTCACAGGGGTCACCTAAGACCATTAGAAAACACATATTTTCAAAAAAATACGGAAAACATAAAATAATTTTATGGTTGGGGGTGGGTCACCACAACATGAGGAACTGTATTAAAGGGTTGAGGCATTAGGAAGGTTGAGACCCACTGCTCTAGGCTATTGGGTGGTCTCAAGTAAGTAGAATTTTCAGAGTTTGCATATTTAAATCAGGAGTGTCCAGCTTTGGCAAATTTATGACTTGCGAAACTTAACTCCCAGAATTCCCCAGTCAGCATGTTTGGGGACGTTAGTTCATAGCAATAGCAATAGCACCTAGACTTATATACCGCTTCATAGTGCTTTACAGCACTCTCTAAGCAGTTTACAGAGTCAGCCTATTGCCCCCAACAGTCTGGGTCCTCATTTTACTGACCTCGGAAGGATGGACGGCTGAGTCAACCTTGAGCCAGTCACAATCAAACTCCTGCCAGTGAGCAGAGTCAGCCTGCAATACTGCATCCTAACCCCTGGGCCACCATGGCTCAAATATAAATCTACTGAGTGCCAAAGATGTCGCTAAATGTTTCACCTTTAACTTTCTTCTTACCAATGTGAAAGTTTTTTCATCCTGCAGATTCAAGCACTCTTCATTCAGTTATTGTTGCTTTTCTAAGAAAGATAGAAATATTCTTTGACTACTGGGAACATTTGCTTTTGAAAACAAATGCCTTTTTTTGTAGTATTAAAGTACCAACATTTTTTTTGAACTACAAAGCTCGTGCCAAGCCAAGAAATCAGCAATATTTTTGCAGATTAATATTGACATTTCAAGAATAAAATGTTATTTATAACAGGCATTTTGAACAAGGGAATAAAAAAGCTGACGATGGCAGCCACAAAAGCTCCGTCCTCTTTTATCTGTGTTGCAATGAATGCAAAAAAAAAAAAGCGTGAAGATTTGATCGCATGGTTGTGACAATGTGATGGAACTCATTAATGGCCTCGAGAAAAAATAAGGTGAGATGCAGCCTAGGGAACAATCAAATCCGAGGGACAGAAAGATTCTGTTAATGTAGCTGTACCATAAAGGACTAGAGCCTCTCTAGTTCTTTTCCTGTCTGGTTTGCTGGGGTGGGAACTGACATTGATCTTGTAAGTACAAACTTCCCGCCCACCGGTTTTAGCTGCCTGTTCCATTAGGACAGGCCAGTTGTGGGTTCTGGCAGCTGCTACTGCTGGTTCGCTCAGCGACGCTCTGTGTGCACGTGCACTACAACAAAAATTGCATGCGCAGAAGCCAAAAACAAGATGGCGCTGCCTATGGCGTTACCAGGAGAACTGTTACGGGGGCATGGCATCCTGGGTTATTGCCAGTTCCAGCGACCCATGCTGCCGAGCTACTATTGGTTCAACCGAACCAGTCCAATCCGGTAGGAACTCACCACTGGGGCAGACTGTCTTGTCTGATTGTTTCCTAGGCAAAATCTTTCCTTCTCTTTCGTCAAAGCCACAAACTTATTCCATTACAGGATTGCCATCTTGATAGTTTTTAACTATTCCTGTAAAAATCCCAGTAAGTTAACTACTGATCCACTGCCTAGGAATTATTGTGAACAGTTATTCTTAGATCCGATAAATAATTAGACATTCAAATGGCACTTCTTTTTAAACAGAAAACAATGGTAATCATTTTAATTATATCACGTAATATAATTATTGTACTAAATCTCTTAAATGGGCGAATTTATTTTCTTTATATCCTATTGATGTTGAAACTGTCAGCAGTAACTAACCACTAGTGAAAACCATATGTTGAAGAAATATGACATTTTGACTTTCGAGCTGCTTTTAATTCTTATTCTTAATTCTTATCAAATAAGTAAAATATAATCCAATAGATAAACACTGAATTTGTTCCAGCTGAACTGACTTGTAGAGATCACACTAAATTTCACTTCTATAATATAGGAAGAAAATTGATCTTACATCAAAAGAAAAATTATATAAAGTTATAAGGGCATGTACCTGAAAACTACTATAAAACTTAAATCTTCAATTCAGAGAATGGCCGTGCTGCAAAAATTGCTGCGTTTTATTGACCTTATTATAGCAATATAATGTGGTAAACTGTAGTCATTAATCTGCTATTCTGTCAGTTTTCTAATCAATACATTTCAAACTACAAAAGTATATCTGCTTCATTTTTCAATATGTGTGCATATCAATACTGTACATGCGGACATTTTCTTTGTCCCTTCGAATTAGTGTTGACTCCTGGTGGCTGTTTGGACAAGTCCCTGCAGTTTTCTTGGCAAGATTTCAGAAATGATTTGCCATTGCCTACTTTCTAGGGTTCTGGGAGAGTGACTGGCCCAAGGTCACCCAGCTGGTTTTATGCCTAAAGCAGGCCCAGAACTCTGAGTCTCTAACCTGATGTCTTATCTACTACACCAAACTGAATCTTATCTAAACTCAATGTATTATAACATGCATTCTCTTATCTATAGTTTTGCAAACTGACAAGATTCTGAAATTAGAATATTTTGCATTTTTTAAGTGCCCGCCGCTTGCGTAAGTGGAGCTGCGCGCATGGTCTGGTTCGGAATGGGTCATAGCGACAGCCCAGGAGTTGGGGAGTCTTGTTTTAAAACATATGCATGAAAATTGGAACCTGAAAGCAAAGTTTTTAGTGTTTACAGTTTAACAAAAGAAAATTTCAACATATATAAGAAATTGTTATTTTTTTTCACAATCTTCTCTTACAATTTTTTAAAAATGAGAAACGAGGCCTTTAATATTGAAATACTAAATTGTCAAAGAACAGTTGAAAAATTATCTTTCTCTAAAGCTTGATGGGTCAGTTTATTTTTAACCAATATCATGTTTGCATGTTTATTCATAAATCCATTATTTTCCGTATCTGCTAATCATTCATATAAAAGTTCTATATCAGTATATGTTTTTGATTTTCTTTCTCCCAAATATGCTTCTTTAAATGTATTTTCTTCCCAAATGCTCATTTCTAAACTCCTTTCTTTTTAAAGAAGTTATATATTTTATTGATTATGTCCCATCAAGTTGTTGTTGACTATTGGTGACCATAAAGGTAATTTTTCTTATGAAGACACTGTATGTCCCTAGCCTGATATTTTGGGTCTTCTCATGGTGTAGTCACTGCCAATGAAACTGAATCCATCCACCTTGCTGCTATTCATTCTCTTCTCTTTCATTTCCTTTTTTCCCAGTTTAGAGCCTTTTCCAGCAAAATCAGTCTTCACATAATATGTCTGAAATACACATTATGTACTATTATAATTTTAACATGATAACCTGTCCCTTGGGTGAAAACTCTGAGTTGATTTTGTTCAATAATCTATTTATTTGTTTCCTAGCTATTCATGGTATTCTCAGAGATCTTCTCTAACACCAAAGTTCAAAGATCCGGATTCTTCAAAGTCCACCTTCTCCTTCCATAGTGTCACAGAAAATACTATGGTTGCAGGATTCTGATCTTTGTAGGTGTAGATCCATCATGGCATTTGAATATCTTCTCCAGTGTCTTCATGGCTGAATGCTAAACTCCAGTGTATTTCTTGATTGCTTGTTCCTTTTACTATTGTTGATTGATCCAAAAAAGTCAGAAGCTATTCACCTTTTCGGTATCTTCATTATCAGTTCTAAGGCTTGTTGTTCTACCTATTGTCATTAGTTTGGGTCTTCATTTTATTTAATTTTAGTCCCATGTTTTCCACTGTGCTCCTTCACTTTTATTACTAGGGCTTGCTGATCCTTTGCATTTTTGGCTATCAGGGTAGTGTCATCAGCATTGCGCAAGTTACTAATATTCCTTCCTTTGATTTTAAAACACCATGATCGTGTTTTTCTTATCCACCTTCGCTCAATATACAGTTGGCATATACAATAGATTGAGTAAATGAGGGGAAATGTCTTTTCACACTCCTTTGCCATCCTTGAGCCAGACTGTTTCACCATATTCTGTTCATACTATATATAAGTTTCTCATGAGGATAATAAGATGTTCTGAACACATTTCAGTTTGATGTGATCAACACAATTAGAGGCATTTCTACAATCTATTAGCAATAGCAATAGCAATAGCAATAGCAGTTAGACTTATATACCGCTTCATAGGGCTTTCAGCGGTTTACAGAGTCAGCATTTTGCCCCCAACAATCCGGGTCCTCATTTTACCCACCTCGGAAAGCTGGAAGGCTGAGTCAACCCTGAGCCGGTGAGATTTGAACCGCTGAACTGCAGATAGCAGCAGTCAGCTGAAGTGGCCTGCAGT